GCCCCCCAGCCTCCTCCCCCGCCCCGCCACCCAGGAAGGCCCCTTGCCCTCCCACTGGAGTCCCCGAAGCTCCTCAGTCACTGCTTCCGGTTTGGGCCCCTCCCTTTCCAAACTTGAGTGTCAGGGGGGGGTTTGCATTTACCTGGATCACCTTCTCACAGGCCGCCAGGGCCCGGGGGTCGCCCTCCCACCGGTGCAGTTCCCGGAGGATCACGTACGTGCCTTTCTCTCTCACCCGCTGCCGTCCTGGCTTTGTGGCTGTGAGCTGCCCGGGGACACGAGAAAGGCTGTCTGCAGCTGGGCTCCTGTGGGGGTGAGGTCTGCCCCCCCCCCACAAACACACACACACAGGGCAGACTTGGAGAGAGGGGCTGAGCTCACAAACAACTCACCCACCCATCTTCTTGCCTGGGTTAGAGGTTCAAAAGGCTGCACCAGGAGAGGGAGGGTAGCCGGTCTGAAGGCAGGAGTGGCCGCTCACCCCCCCCCCGGGGGACAGGGGAGGAGGCAGTGATGGGGGGGGGGGGGGGTCTGTGGAGGAGGGAAAGCCCAGGCTGGCCTGCAGAAAGGGGGAGGCTCAGCAGCTGCCAAGTGCCGGTTTCGGCAGTTCAACAGGATCCTGAGCAAACCTTCAGGGTCTCCTTGGAAAAGCTCCAGTGACTTCGTTCCACAGCCTGGTCGGGCCAGGGGACCGCCCTGCCTCTCCCCCGCCCCGCCACCCAGGAAGGCCCCTTGCCCTCCCACTGGAGTCCCCGAAGCTCCTCAGTCACTGCTTCCGGTTTGGCCCCCTCCCTTTCCAAACTAGAGTGTCGGGGGGGCTTAGCAATGTTTCCTATGGCGATTTTCGCTTAAGGATGGCAATTCGTTCCTATTGGAACGGATTATCCGGTTTTCAATGCATTTCAATGGGATGAATTTTTTGGAACGAATTAAAATCGTTAAGCAAGGCACCACTGTACATTGTTCATGTTGTACAACATATTTAGGTGGTCGCTCTCTGGTCACTGAGGCTGGCTGGGAGTCCTGCCCACCCTCACGCTGGGCCAACCTTCTTCGCCCCCCCCTCGCGTCCCCCCCAGCCCAGACTCACCAGCAGGATGGCCTCCAGCAGCATCTTGCGGATGTCCGGGTCCGGCTCCCGCTGCTTCTCCGGAGGCAAATACTGCAGATCCAAGGGCAGCCCTGGGACCGAGACAGGAGGCTTTGAGGAGGAAAGGCCAGAGAAAGAGGGGCGAGGGAGGGAGGGAGGGAGGGGGGGCTAGAACCCCCCAGCTGGCCAAGGCTGCAATACAGAGAACCTCTCGGAAGGGCCAGGGGCAACCCCAGCTGCAGAGGTCGGTCCTGCCCGTCGTCCCCCCTCTGACCCCCAGCCGCCCCCGACCCATGCTCACTTTCCATCTCTTCCTCGGGGAATTCCTCTGGACCCGCCAGCGGGAGCAGGAGGAAGGGAAGGAGGTCCACAGCTTCACTCAACAACCACTCGTGGTGCCCTGGGAAGGAAAGAGCAGCAGCGCGCTAGCAGCCCAAGCCCCTGGCTACCCGGGGAGGACAGCTCAGGTAGCCAGACCGAAGGAGGGCAGGGACTGCAGCCAAAGCGAACTGCAAATCTCCCCCCCCCGTTCCCTCCCCTCCCACAACCCAGCCACGTGGAAACAGGGAGAGTCCCCCTCCCCCCTCCCCCCCTCATGGGGTCCCACTCACGCACTGTGGTCAAAACAGCAGTTCCGGAGCATCCCAACGACGCCTCCTCGGCGGACGACCGAGCCAGCATACTGCGTGTATGGCAACAGCCTTGGCAACACACACCTGGGAGGGGGGAGGATTGAGGGCAGAAAGGTCAGGAAAGTCCAGCCAGACGGAGAGGGTGCCCTGGGTCCATCCTCCCCCCTCCCTACATACCCCCCATGTGCCCACCAAGCCAAAGGCAAGGGGCCCCTCTCAAGCTGCTGGAGGGAGGGGGAGGCTGGCCATCGATGACAGGCAGGATGGTTTCAGCCTGACCTCCCCCCCTTCCATTCCAGGGCAGCTCTGGGGAAGGGGTGGGCGTTTCAGCAGCAGGTGAAGGGGCGGTCAGGAGGGCAAAGCCCAGCACAGAGAGCCTTCCTGCATGCGCACGTCCTCTGTCCACCACCACCCCCACTCCCCACCCCCAGCTCCCTCAACCTGCCTGGATCTGTCCAAGAGGGCCTCCCGGGCTTCTGGGAGCTGGCTCAGGTTGGAGAGCAACGGGCCCAGATAATGCAGGCAGGCCCGGGGGTTGAAGCCCTCGGTGCAAAAGGCGTCCACGAGGGGTCCCAGCCCTCCCGCCGTCTGCTCCAGGGCTTCCAAGAGGTGCCGGCAGGAGGCCTCTTCCCGTGACAGGTTGGAGAGCAGCGTGCAGACCTGGTCCGCCCACGGAGAGGCCGGATCCAGCAGGAGGCTGAGCAGGCTCGGCAGGCCCTTCTTGAACGCCCCGTGGGCTACCGGCTCTGTGGCCAAGTTAATGAGGGCACGGTAGGCGTCTTTGGCAACCGCCGGGGAAGGGTCCCTGGCCAGGGCCAGCAGGGCATCCAGAAGGGCCTCCTGGCCGGCCAGCCACTGCCGGCCTTCCGAGGTGCCCGTCAGCCCCATCAGATACTGGGTGGCCTGGACCTTCAGGTCCAAACGGGCCTCTGGGTGAAGAAACGCCAACAGCTCTTCCGCCTGTTGCTCTTCCATGCCGTTGTTGTGTTGTTGTGTTGTTGTGGAGCCACCTGGATCTTGAGGAGAAGAGACAGACACAACAACAACAACCGTCAGCTCTCCCTAGAAAACACTCACAAGGCCACGAGGAGGCGGCTTCTGGCGTGGCGGACCTGGCTTTCTGCTAAAACAGCACTCGTTCACAGTGGCCAAAAAGGGAAGATAATCTGCCTTAGGAAAGGGGTCAATAAGAGATAGATGTCATTTATTTATTTATTTATTTGTTTGTTTGTTTATACATACCTCTCCTATCTGGTCAAACAACAACTCTAGGTGGCTGCCAGCATATAAACCATTTATAAAATACAGTATAACATAATTTTTGCAATCAATAAACAAGTTATTCAAGATAAAAAGAAAGAAAAAAAGAAAAAATCAGGCATTAGCTGTAGAGAAGGGCTGCACAAACATCCAAGTTTTCAGTTGATTTTTAAAGGTACCCAGCGAAGGGGCCGCACAAACCTCCGGAGGAAAGTTATTCCAAAGGTGCTGAGCCACCGCCGAGAAGGCCCAGTTTCTTTCCTTCTGGGCCTCCCTCTGCGTCAGGCTCCTCAGCCTCACCTCCTGACTCGATTGGGTGATACGGATAGATTTTGGTGGGAGTAGGCGTTCCGCCAAGTATTGAGGCCCTAAACCGTTTAGGGCTTTATACATAAGCATCAAAACTTTGAAGTCACTGTGGAACCGAATGGGCAGCCAGTGCAAAGCGGCCAGAGTGGGAGAGACATGCTGATATTTCCTCACTCAGCTAAGGAGTCTGGCTGCCGCGTTCTGCACCACTTGGAGTTTCCGCATCAACCTCAAAGGCAGCCCCACGTAGAGCGCATTACAGTAGTCTAATCTCGAGATTACAAGCGCATGGACCAAGGTCCCAACATCAAGATAGGGACGCAGCTGGGCTATCCGCCAGAGATGGAAAAAGGCGGTGAGTGTCATGAATTTGATTATGAAAATAGAATAATGTTGTATTTCATAGGATTTAGTTCAGAGCTGCAACGAAAAAGCTAGAAATCTGCTTATGCCCAGGTGCTAATTAGAGAGAAAATGTACAAGGTCAGTTCTTCTCCAGCTAAAGAAAAAAAAAGAGTTAAGAAGAGCAAGCTGACC